GTATTTTTATTTTTAACTAATATATTAAAATTATGCTTCATTGATTTATTTAAAAATAATATTATTCTGTTTATTTAGATTTGGCTCAATCTGATTCTACTCTAATTAAGCTTGATATTACTGATGTTGAAAAGCTTTAGTGTGTATACAAAATAATAATCTACTGTATTTTGTCTATTTTATAATTTGTAAACAGTAAAAAATTAAATTATAGTTTTTAAATATAGTGTAAAATTTTAAAACTTAAAATTATATAACTTGTTTTATTTTAAAATCTATTTTTGTACTAATTTTTATTTTTATTTATGTTTTGCAAATTGTTATAATTAAAGTATTTAAAATTTAAATATTATATAATATTTTTTAACTATATACAGTATTAAATAAATAATTTTATTTGTATACTATATATATTTTTTAATTTTCAAAGCTAATTGATAAACAAAAAAGCTACTTATTTCTCTTTATAGGCTGCTGGTTGTCTTAAAAGCTTCTTTATTACTTGAATTTGATGTAAATTTATTTTAAAATTTTTTTTTTATATAGTAATTTATTTTATAAATTAGATGCAAAAATTAAATAATATATATATAATAAATGGATTTTGTATTAAATTTATATAATAAAAACAGACTTATCAAACTAATTTTTTATCAAAATTGACAGGCTATTAATTTTAAAAATTGATTTTGAAAGAGTTAGCAATAAATAGAAAAAATAATAAAATAGTATGTTTTTTAAAATTCACATATATACAACTCTTTCTGATGATCATCTGGACCATATTTTTCAAAAAACTTTTGACTAAAAAACAGTAAGTAATGTACTGCAAGAAAATGTAAGATAAGGGAAAAGGGCATAAGAAAAACCGCACTTGTTGTTTAAAAGTAGTTCTCATATACTACCTGCTGACAAGCTTAGAGTTTATCACTTATAGCAGCACGGCACTTGTCATTTAGAAATAGTTTTCATAGGCTATCTGCCAACAAGCCCAGAGTTTATCACTCACCGAAAAAACTGAGTACTGTGCAAACTTGTAGAATATCTATTGATGTTTTTAGAACTCACACTCATTTGAATATGTACTAGTGGTCTCTTTTGTGTTTTTCACTTTTTGCCATTCTTACCAAAAATTTCAACAAAAAAGTGGGCATTTTAGCTCACCCCCTAAAAAAGATCAGTATTGTTTATACCTACCTAATTCAGATAAACTCAGTAGAATGCAACCACGTATTTGTTTTGTTTATCAATACAGTGCTATGGTATGAGAAAGAGATCATCACCCCCGTTTAGGAGATACCTGAGTCAAGTCGGTGCCTGAAACGAGTCCTAAAGCTAAACCAAAAGTTTACAATCGAGATATAGTAATTAGTTGCAATTATTATATAATTTTTATCTTTATGCCTGGTACAGACTATAATAGTGTGTCATAGCTATTTTCTTTTTTTTTACTTTTTTCGTCTTTGTTCATTTATATTAGATTACTTTAGGAATTTTAGTTTGGTTTTTGTTTTTTTTTGTTACCGTGAGATGTTTTTTTTCTAAAATGTTTATGTTTTTCGTAAACATGGCTTTACATTTTTACTTTTATATATGAATAAGGGTTTTATTTGTGTTGTCGAGCTTAGGTAGAAGAAGTTTGAAAGAAGAGAAGGCAGTCATGATGGGCAGCAAGGTTCACTGTTGAAAGCTGGGTCATATTCAATTGCAGGAGGGGTCTAGAAGGAGGGAAATCTTGCTATAGCAGGTCGAACATAGGTACCAATTGGGGTACCCGAGTTAGTTTTAACTTGTAATTTAGGTAATATTAGGTTTAATGCTATGGTGCTTGTTGTTTAGAGATAGTTCTCATATGCTATCTGCTGACAAGTTAAGAGTTTATCACTTACCTTTTTAAATGCAACTTAGTGTAAAATTTTACAAGTCTAGAAAATTCGTACAAAGCCTAATAAAGTTAAAGCATGACTGCTGAATTTATAAAAAAAAAAATATATGTTTTTTAAAATTTAATTTTATATTTTTTTTTAATTTAGCAATCTTGCCTTTATTGTATTAAGAGTGTGTAATCTAAATACATAGTTTCTGAACAAAAAGCCTACAATAAACTCAATGCCTTCTACCTTTCTACTCTTCAATAAAGACTCACTCGGCTGCTTGTAATGATGCCAAAGTGCAATTTGCTGCAGTAATAATTTATTCATCTCTGGTATCTGACTTGCTAGATGACTTCTTGAAAAAATCACTAAAAGCTTATTGCTAGCTTTGTCAAAATTGCCTTTTTCTTAACATTTTTCCTTCTTCAAAGGGGTATAAAACAAATTGGAATAAGAAACAAAAAACACAGATAAAACGAAAATAACAAAAACAAAAAAAAAAGAAAAAACAAAGAAGAATATATAAAAAGAAAACAAATACGAAAAGAAATATAAAAGAAAAAATTACAAAAAAAAGAAAACAAAAAGACAGTGGAAAATTCTGTCTTTTTTGGCACCACTATAACCCATGCCAGGCTAAAAAAATCATATAACAAATATGATATTTGTATATCTCTATTGTAAAGCTTTGTCTTATTAAGTAAATTTTCTGACTAGATTATTCAGACTCCTAAACGACATAAGTAGCCAATCTCGGTATTACGTGAAGCAGCATGGTCTATAAACAAAACAAACTAGACACATGATTACAGTCTGTCAGAACTGTCCAGATTTGAGAGGAGTAAACAATGCCAATCTTTTGAAAGGAATAAACCGTTTTGCCCACTTTTGTAGGAAATTTTGGAAGAGCAGCAAGGAGGCGGAGAAAAGAGATGAAACTACTTTGTTTTGTTTAGTAAAGAAGTATGTATTTTCTTTACTCAACACACTGAATCTATAGGAAGGCGCAAGTACTCTTCTTATTTTTTTAGGTAAGTGATAAATTCTGAGCTTGTCAGCAAATAGCATATGAGAACTATTTCTAAACGACAAGTGCCAGCCCCCGCGGTGAGTGATAAACTCTGAGGAAGTTAGCAGGTAGCATATGAGAACTACCTCTAAATAACAACTGCCGAGTTACGGAGCTTAAGGACTTCTTCTCTGTCTGTTTTAACCTTTACAGATGCTAGTTTTTTAAGAATTTTGAATTTTTTTTTTTTTTTTTTTGTAGTAAAAATGATCGTTGAGAAGAGTTGTAAATTTTTTAATAAAAATTTAATTTTATAATTTGGTTAACTAATAAGTTTTGTTAATTTATTTTTATATTTTAATTTAACATTAGTTAGATTTGTACTATACAATATATATTTGTTTGTATTTAATACTATTTAAATTAAAGTAAATCTATTTGTAACTAGTATTATGCCTCTCATATGATTATTTTTTTTTTTCTTTTAAAATTAGACTGGCAGTTATACTACTGATTATTTCTTTATTTGTCATTTTATATATTATCAATTTTATTTTTTTATTTGTAATTTTCATATACATATATTGTTATTTCTATAATTGGCAATTTTTGTATTATAAGCCTTGTGCAAAAGCAGTTTGATATTGTGAATATAATCATTATCAATTATTGATCCGACCTCATATAAACTATTTCACAACCTCTAGTAAGAAAAGGAATTACTGAAGCTTTGTAAAACAGTTTCGTAAAAAGACCAATGACTTCGAAATTGGTCATCATATAATTATTTTCATAATCTTATTTCAGAAGATTATATGTACTAATGTATAATTAAACATAAGAATTATCTAATTCACATATGTTTCAATTGCATTTATCTAAAGATAAATAAAAAGTATTTAATTATTTGTACTAGTGCTCCTCCTGAAAGAGATTATTGGTATTGAGGATAAAACTTAAAATAGAGATAAAAAGAAATTCATCTGTTAATAGAATAGTGTAAAATTAAATATATTATAAAAGTTTTGTATTTAAAGATTCACAATTTTCGCTTAATAAAGAATTCTCCAAACTTTGTTTTCTAACATTTTCCTACTTGTCTTTTATATTTGAAAGGGTGATTGAAGCCTAGTATATTTTATAAAACATATATTGTTTACATACTTCTTGTTAGCATTAAGTTATCTTAATGTGTATTTATTAAATTTTATTTTTCATTCTTGTTTTCTTGACTTTATTATCTAAAGTTATTGTGAATACATCTTTATAATCTTTTATCAATACAATATATGATTACATCTTCACATTCACAATACAAATTCAGAAGTCTTGATCCACTATCACACCTTAAATTAATCTCAATTTGGATTGTCAACAATAAGACAATCAGAATTGAATTAGATATTAACATATTCTAATTCCAACACATACATCACTTAAATTATACTCTAAAAGTTCCTTATCCATTACTAATTAGACACCTGTCCTTTTTATTTTAGCACTAACTCATTGCAGACATATTAATTTTCTCATGTTGTAATTAAATGCCTCTTTGTCTTTAAGACTAACATTTGGTTTACTATTCTAATCTATATTGGCACTATTTATTTAATATTCTTCTAACCCAATAGTAATATCAACAATGAAAGTTTTATATTAATAAGATTGCAAGGTTAAGTGTAATGATAACAAATTTGCATATACAATTAAACCCTTCTAAATACACGTTGTTAGGACCAGCTCCAAAGTGTGTATTTAGAAAGAGCTGCAATTAGGGAACAGCTAATAATATTATAATATATTTACCATCACATAACATATTAATTACACTAACAGTTCGATCATTATATATATATATATATATATTTTTTAATGTTTATATAAATGTTCTTTATTTTTTTATTTATGTAATAATAAATTCGATAATTTACATACTGTATAATAACTCCAAAAAATTACTAATTTACTTATTACTGTACTCTAATCTAATCAGTTAACCTAAAAAAGGTTTCAAGGTTTACTTGTTTAAAAGACCCAATTCAAGTTTTTCTAATTATCTTTTGCAAATTTAATAATGTTTGGTTATATTCTAACTAGGCTTTATCATTTAGATCCTGTTATATAAGGCATTGTTTCAATACCTCTATGGTATTTAATGCTTCATAGTGGGTAATCATAGGGATTTTTTTACTGTCATTTTCATCTTCTTTACTATTATCACCTTTATCAAAAACTTCTGTAGATTCAACATTAATAACTAAAGTTACGATAAACTCTTTCTGCAAATTCCTAATACAAAATTTACTTAAATTCATCCAACAAAAAACATCTGTTTATGCAATATTTTACTATGTAAATATAACTTTACTTTCTAAATAAACTTGTTCGGCACATAAAAATATATTTAATATTTAAATTTCAAGTCTCTAGCTCTTATATTTATAAAGAAAAGTGCTAAAATGTTTTTTAGGCAAAAAATTCAAACTTTTGCTATTTACTCTTTAACCTAATTCTAAATCTATGCAATACATTTAGTAAAAGTTGTTCTATACACTTTTCCCACCATTACAAGCTATATTTTATCTCTGTAGCTTTTAAATTAACAAAGCTAGCCTTTAAAAAAAAAAAATTTAAACTCTTGCTATTTACTCTTTAATCTGATTTTAAACCTCTGTACTACATCTAATTAAAGTTGTTTTACACACTTTCCTCATTATAACAAGCTGTATTTCATCTCTGTAGCATCAAAATTGATGAAGTTACTCTTTAAACCATTTTAACTCTCTTTACTTACTCTTTTCCACTATACACGATTTTTGTGTAACATCTAGTCACTTCCAAATTTATCCAAATTAACTTTATATTATAGAAATATTAATTTTCCTTTTATATTTTTCATTCTAACAATCA